CATATTGAGGCAAAGGAGAGAGGGGAGAAAAGGAACTAAGCTGGACTCTGGGAAGGGGACAACCTGTTGATGTAAAGAGGGGGAAATGGTGATGCTATAGGCTGGGAGGCGGGGGAAATAGCAAAGTAGAGAGGTAGAAGGAGAAAACGAACAAAGCTAGAGGCTAGAAAGGAAGGGAAAGAAGACAGCTCTAATATTTTCCATTTTTAAACAGTTTTTTATAGGCTCAGGGAGGAGAGAGTTTTTTGGGCACTGCTGGATGTTCAACCAATGCCTAATATGTTGCCTAAGTTAACCCCCACCCACCTCAACCCACATATATACATTGCGTGGCAAGTTAAAATAAAAAAGCTCAGAAGAGGTGAAATTCATTGTCAAAGCTAACTTAACATCTGTTGTCTTCGGTGCAGATTAAGCTCGCTCTCTAAGATTGTGCCCTTCCAAGCTGTTCATCCACGTGGATTCTGATAAGTTTAGGAATGCAGCCCAGTTTGCCAGCCCCTTTAATCTGGCCAAGTTTTTTCTCTCCCAATGCAAACTTGCGCATACAAGTTCATGATTTAAATATCCTCAATTTCAATTTCATGTACATGTGTGTTTATGCGTTGACATTTCACATAAAAATAAATAGTCTCCAGTAATTCTAGTTTTGGAAATCAGTCTCTTTGAAGTTCTGGATATATGGCCTAACAGCAGAGGGTTCTGGGTTCAAACTCTTCCATAGCATGATGCTGTCAGCTTGTCACAGTCATGGACTTTTGGCCCAGGTTGTGGCAGCAAGAATCGTAGCACTCCGGATGTTCAGAATGTGAGGTCCCAGCATTCCTGGCCATTGCCCAGGCTGGCAAGGACTTCCGGAAGCTGAAGTTCAAAATGTCTGGCCGTTTACTTTCTGCTCACCCCAGGTCACCTACCTCACAGGACTGTTGTAAGCTTAACATGGTGAAGGTACGAAGTAAAGTACCCTGATTGCCTTGGAAGAGGGGAAGGATAAATCCCTCATGCATTAATGGGACAAAGTGGGTGACTCCTCGTTTTTAATCTACCTGAAAACTTATCTTCCTGTCCAGAAAGGCAGATGTACTAAGATGTAGGCATTGGTTGTAAAACACAATCTCATCCTGGTTTAAGAGATCCTGGCAAACTGGCTCATGTAACTAGCAACAGCCTTGTCTCAAACATTTCCCAGTAAATTCATCCGAGTTCTGTTTAGGTACCATTACCAGATGTTCCCTATTTCAAGGAACGTTCCATGTTTTCATAGGATTTATTCCAGCTATTGCAGCTCTGTTGAACATAATGAGATTCCTCTTTATTTCATACAATTTCAGCTCCACACCATTCTGTACAACAGATGCTTTCCCTCTATGGTGTGCTCTGAAATTCTGATGTGGCAGCCCTTTCTGGTCATTTAAAAAATATAATTGGAATTTGCAACAAAATGTTGCCATGCACAGAGCTCCTCTTCAGGGTTCAAGCCAGCCAGCTATGCCTTCTTCCAAGGTACATCCCTCCTGCCCAAAGTCAACATTTTGTGTACAGTCCTTACTGTGCTGTGCTCATTTCATCTTGCCCTTTAAAGAGTGTTGTTTCTTCTTCTCCTTCTCCATCATCATCATCATCATCATCATCTCCTTGGAAACCTCAGAATTCCTTCAACCCTGTTGACGCCTTCTTTGTGTGTCTGGGTGGTGTGGTTTTGGCTACATAAAGATCCACGTAGGTAGAATGACTTCACTGTAAATACATTTTTGGAAGGAGAGGTACCAGGGCCAAGAACACAAGCACGGCCTTTCCTGACTTGACACTCTGTGCCATCAGTGTGGTACTTTCTGCCTGTTCATGCTCCCTCCCCTCCACTCCTTCCTCCCAATGTATTTCAACTGGACAAACATTAATCTCTTATCTGGATATGGGTGCAAATGGAGGGGCCAGTCTGCTTCTGGCCCATGTCAGCTTCACATGTGCTCATTGTTAAGCCTGCCCTGCCTTGTTCTCACGTCAATTTGACGTGTTGTGTTTCAAACATCCAGCACCAGGGCATGTTGCATTTTAATGTGTTGCTTTGTGCGGTCAAGTCATCTCCACCTTATGGCAACCCTATGAATGAAAGCCCTCCAGAATGCCCTATCCATGGCATCCCAGCTCTGCTGTTCTAAGTTTGAGGCCATGGCTTTCTTTATGGTGCCAACCCATCTCCATTTTCTCATCTTCTTCTTCTTCTGCCTTACATCTAAATACATAGTGAAGAAAGTAGCTTTGTACACACTTGATCCTAAATCATGCATCTATGAGAATCTTGCATTCTGAAGGATAACTGTGTTCCAATTCACATATTAGTCTTGAAGCTGTGGATTGGATCAGTTCACATTAAAAGGAGGACCAGTGCTCTTGCCCATTGGAAAATACCACGCAAAAAGAACTTCGATGCCATCAAACACACAGTCGCAACAGGATGGCCTTTTCGCACCGTTCTGTCAACAGAGTCTGGACTGCAGGAAGAGAGACATGAAGGTGGAAACAGCTGGAAGCTGCACATGCACGGCGCTCTGTGGCAAGCCACAAGACAGCCAGGATAGAACGAGGGGGATCTCTAAGACATCAGTTCCACTTCAGAAATTGGATCAGTGAATTCAGAGGCATTCTGATGAGGAGCTCTTCAGAAGAGGTCCCTGGGAGTAGCACTTAAGGGAAACGGAAAGCTGTGTGTGAAGTCTCTTTAGTACCATCCTGCCTTGAAAGGGCAGTGCACAACTGGATATACCTACGCATGGCTTCGTTTCTCTCCATCTGAGGGACACACTCTTCATGCTGTTTGTTATGTAGGAGCCATAACTTGCGGGCTGAAAAAAAGCCAGCACAGGAATCTAGTTCAGAGAAGACCCTCAGCATAAGGCACTGCTATCTTGAGTCTTCTTTGCCTGGGATGGAGCTCCAACTGGAGCATAGGAGCATTCTCCCCAGTGCAAGGTAGGGAGCCTGATCCAGCTTGGGACTGGACTGAGGGGCAAGGGCTTGTAACCTTCTGTCTCTCGTGTTGCAGTCCCAGCCAGGGGAGTCATGTGCCCTCTCTTTGAAGGGCTGCTGGAGGACAGTCCCCTATTTTGAAGGCGTCCTCTGTTTGAAGGCTTTTCCAGTTCAAGAATAAAGATCAGGGCCATCAGAATGAAGATCAAGGCTGGTCACAGTCCTCTATACTATGGTGAGATGTACTGCATTTTCAGATTAGTTCTGTACTGCCCCACAGCAGAAACTCTCTGAGCACTTTCTGAGCATAAAACAGAAAATACATTTTTAAACATATTATAAAATCAGAAAAAAATTAAAACAGCTAAAAACAGACAATAGTAAAAGACATGGGGGCCACCACAGAAAAGCCTTTCCCCATATTTCCACCTCTGTGCTTCCCTTGGAGTTGGCACTTGGATGAAGGCTCCAGCGTTTGACTGTCATGTCCAAGTAGGTTGTGGAAGGGGGAGGCGCTCTGGCAGGTATTGTGGTCCTAAGTTGGTTCCCCCATTAATCTCTGTTTTGGGGACACATGCCCTCTTTTGGGTGATTCGCAAGCAGTGTCCCTAGACCACCCGCCCGGATTGGGTGTCTTAACTGTAGCTAATATTCAAAAGCTTAACGACATGACAAACTTCCATAGCGCTGCTACACGGAAGAACACATAATGTGTACCTATGTAGGAGTTCCCAGTCTAAGGGGTTGGCATGGCTTTCCAAGAAAATGCAAAGGCATGCCCTTGGCAACCCAGCTGGGCTCATCATGCTGGATTAGAGCCATGTGTGAATCTCATGCAGAAGCAGCACTGCTTTCAGTCTGGGGGCACCTGCAGTGGGCTTCCACCCCAAGTGATACTGCCCACTTACCTGGCCTTTCCTCGCAGCCAAGCCACTCGCCCATCAAGAAGGAGACTGGGCCAGCAGCAGCTGCTTCTCCACCGTTTCGCCCTTGTCGCTGCCTGCACACCTGAACAGGAAGAATCAGCTGGAGAAGGGGACTTGATCGACTGCTTTGATTAATATCCCAACTTTTTGTCAAGAAACTGGCACTAAAGGTGCTTGACCATAATAAAAACTAATATGTAAAATAACAGTTGACAACAATAATAAAAGAAATACAATTTCTTATTTTTTTTTACATTTCGGCACCACCCAAAGGCAAAGCTTTACATACATTAAAAAGTAACTTAAATGCAAAATTAAAATAATAAAAACAGCACCCAACCCTGCTATTGACTCTGAGATCTAGCTTGCATGTAACAGTGGCAAACAGAGGGTTAATTCACCTAAGATTAGTTATTGGTTAACTGTGGCTTGTTTAACCCATGATTAAACCGTAGCATCTGGGTTTGCACATCAGCTAATCTTAGGTTGAGTAGGCAAAGCAGAAAGAACATGTGTCATATGTTCACCCATAATTTGCTGCTGTGTCGTGTAAATAGGGCCTGAGGAACAGCAGTACAGATGGAGGGATCTGTCAATTTGCTTTGCCACAATTGCCGGATTATTAGCATCAAACTTGCCCCATTCCTTTTCCACATATGTTCATGGGAATGTGGTTTGTGTGTGTTGGTCTGTACTGAAATTAATGCTTTGTGTGTGCATACATGCATTCTATACAAGAACTTTTCATTGCTGTAATGCAGCTTTGCAGGGCTCATACATGTCCTGCAAGCACTCATCCTAATTCGTTAATTTTGGGGTGTGCATTCTTCCCTTTAAGTGTCCCTCACCCATGATAAACATCTCAAAGCTCATAAAATATGGATTTTAGCACACAGCTTTGCATTAGATTGCCTATACACTCTCAGGGTGTACATTTGGTAAATCCATGAAAAAAAAAACCTGAGATCTACTAGATTTCAGTCCAAACACATTAAAACATATGGATGTGTGTGTGTGGCAGCCGTACTGGGGGCTCTTACTATCGATTATCATTTTAATTAACCAATTAATTAAAAAGAAAGGACTCAATTCATCTCTTTCCCACAGGCGGCAGAGTTATTGATTGCTTTACATGTTCCTGATCTGGAAGAGATATCCAGGCGTGCAAGCGGTGCTGTTACCACCAGTCAAGCAACCCAGAATGGTATGTAGATCTCCTTTCTTTCCTTTTCCCGCCTCTTTTTCTAGGGCTGTGTACCTTGCCTCTCCTGCTGCACACACAAATGCACCATCTGTGCACAGAGAGTTCACATTGCACACTTATCATGAATGCATGCAGTGTGGATTATCCTGATCTGACAAATTTAAGGGTTCGGCCCAGATTAAAATAAAAACTTCAGCAGATCGATATGAATAAAATTTGCTTTTTTCCATGATCGTTGCGCTCCGTAATAACTGTGTGTTTTGCCTGTGTCCCTGGTGGTCCAGATTGCAAAGCTGAAATGCCAAAGCTGAGAATGGATAAACTTTGAGTGAAACTGGCTGCAGATCTGTGCACAGCCCTCCTTTGTCCCCATATTCTTTCCGTGGCTTTGCAAGTTTGTAAGGTCCTTTTTCTCCCTGGCAGATAAAATACAATCACCATTGCAAGCTAAATCACTAATAGAAAGTTAAAATGTTTAAATTTTATATGCTGGATTATTATGCTGAACTTTATCATCTGTATTTGTGGTTTGTAAAGCCATGAATTTTTACGAACTATCCAGAGAACTTTGGCTATTGCATGGTATAGAAATGAAATAATACATGAATAAAATAACAGCAGACTATCTGCAGCCCCTTTATGATACCCACAATCAGATTTCTTCTTGTTTTGGTGGGGTGAGGGATTCTCACTGCCCGATGTCTGCCAGTAACCATAAACAAATATTTCATAGTGCTGAGCTGAAGTAGCCCCTTCAAATTTGCTACATGATTTGGGGGTAGCAAATTGTGGAATCACTCTGGCTCCCTCCCCCCACCCCCTGCCAGTTTTACACACACTGGTCTAAGTATTGACACAACTCCTAGAAAGGCTAAAATGCTGGGGTCCAAAAATGCACCTCCCCAGCATATTCAAACTTGGCAACAGGGGAAATGGGGTGGAGGAAGGCGGGCATCTCTGAAGGGCTGGATGGGAATCCCAGCAGGACCAGGCGTGGCCCTCAGCACTCAGTTTCTCCACTCCTGTGTAGTCCGGCTGCTGCCACAAGAGGTAACAGAGCTACTGTTGGCAGTGTCTGCCATTCCTTCCTGATGCAAGAGTGTGGCTTCATTCGCAGGGCAGCATTGTGGGAAGGGGAAAAGAGTGTCACAATTGCAATGGCTTGCGTAGCTCAAAGATCTCTTAAAACTGCTCCTTCTCAGGACTGAAGATTGCAGAAAACCCAGAGCCATGCTGCTCCTTTTAGTTACCAATCGACTGAGCAGGAGAAAAAAATTGAAGCCCTTCCTCCCTGCAGGGAATAAAATGTGGATGTTCTATAACTTCGAAAGCAAAAACAAGACATCTGGCAATCACCGGGCATTGTTACATCAAGATCGGCTTAACATATCTGGTGACTCTGTAGAAAAAACTCTTTTCACCAGTTCCACCCTCCCCTGCCAGTGTTTTTATGTTTGCTCATTTGTTTCTGGTTCTATTTATGTATGTGTCGTCTTCCAGGCCAGGAAGGGCCCCCATGGTAATTTTAATATAAGTTATAGCTTCTGTATAGCCTGGAGTGTCTGATCCTGCCCAATCTTAGAAGCTAAGCAGGGTCAGGCCTGGTTGAAATCTGGATGGGTGACTTAAAAGTTGTGAAGCACCCAGAGAGCTTCAGCTATGGGCGGTATAGAAATGTAATGTAATACAAATGTAACAATCTAATAATTATCATTAAAACATTGTCTGATTTGCAAGACTGGCCTATCCAGAAAAGCTGTTTCCTCCCCACAGCAGTATCACAATATGATAGCACTGGCTCTCCTACCTGGATATGAGAATCCTTGGCTTTCTGAAACTCCTTCTGAGTCCTCCTCTAGCCCAGAAAAGACCCCCAAGGCAAATTATAATATAAAACTTGGAAACAAAAAATCAAGTGCACACAGCAAAATTATGAACAGGAAGGAGGAAAATGATCTTTTCAAAAGCCAGTGCTATCTATGTTTCAATTTTACAAAACCAAAATAATTAAAAAAAAAAACCATTTTGGAGGAAGTTAAATCCCACCAATTCAACTGGGTTTCTCAAGGCACAAGAAACAGATCACTTTATCAGTGCAAAAGTGAACTGTAATTTCACAGCAGTTAGTAGAAATTGGTGAGTTGCACAGACAGGTGCTCCTTCAAATATGGTGCTCAGATGCCAAGGCAGCTTCCTGCTACTATTCATTCCAGACTTCTTTGTTCTGTGCTTCCATGGATCTTACGTAGAACATCACTGCCACCACCCTTACATGCTCCTTCTTTTTTATTTGCCTTCGTTCACAAATCTGCTGTTCGTCAGCCCAGACTGCTGGTTCATTAATGGTGTGACCCTGTTGATTGCATTCCCAATGAGTGGAAGCCGTGAATTCGGAGGCACTTGATCATCCAGTGCGGGGTGACAGGAGCAACGGAGCTCATCTTCCCAGCCTGCAATTTCCAATAGATGGGGTTTTCAGCCCATTTTGCAAGGCTACTTCAGAGTTGGAGGAAAGGAAGCTGGAGGACACTCAGGACAACTCATACCCTGACTTCTGTTGTCTCCTCTCCTCTCAGCCCACTGGAATACTCCTTTTCTTCTACCCCTGAAGCTGCTTTTCCCGCCTCAGAGGGCAACCAGTGCAATGCTTTCTGTACTGGCTGACAGGAAACGGGAGGAAAGTTAGACCTCTGAGGCTCCTTTCTGAGCTGGGATCACAGTCTCTGACCTTGGCAGTGAGAATCTGGACCATTCTGTGGCCCCTGGGACACTTGCCCAGGGACCACAGGACCACTATGTCAGGGTGCAGCAAGTGTAAACAGACCTACACTTGAATAGGACTCTTCTCTTCTCTTCTCTTCTCTTCTCTTCTCTTCTCTTCTCTTCTCTTCTCTTCAATATTCTAATATTTATCATATTCTCAGTTCTGGCTGGTCGAACCTCTCCAAGACCTTTTCCAAGTCTTCTATCTATGATCCTTTTTTAGCTGGCAATAACACAGACTGAACCTGGGACATTTTGCATCCCAGGCATGTGCTCTGCACTGCGCTGTGACCCGTTCCCTATGGTAACACAATAAACAGGGAGCAGTAGCTACTATCACTCAGCACTGAATGCCTCTGATGCGTTGGGCTGTATACAAGAAGCAGAACTGCTCTGCGTATTTAATATCTAAAATGAGAGGATGGATGGTCCCACTTCACAGCAGAGGGCAAAGCTGACTAGAACTTTGGGCAAAGCTGTCTAGGACTCTCTCCAATTCTGATTAAGAAGAAAAGTAACTTTTTAAAGAAGCCATTCACAGAGCAAACTTGCACGTGTATTCACAAGCCAATTCTGCTGTTCTGACCAGGGCTCTCTTCCAGGTATGTGTTCACAGGACAGCCTTCCTTAACCAGCTGCCTCCTGAATGCTTTGAACTACAACTCCCAAAATGGCCATGCTAACTGGGATCAATGGGAGTTGAACTCTAAAACATCTGGAAGGCAGGCTAGTGAAGACCAGCATGGGGCATCATTCAAGGCTGATACACAGTGCTTTTCCTCTCCCCAGCCTTTCCTGCTGTCCTCCAGTGTCAGCTGCTCCACTGCTTTCTCAGCCGTGCCCACCTGGATTCTTGACATAGCGCCAATATCACCCAGAAGGCCAGGGAGGGGGATGCTTTTAGTTTACAAGAGCTCGTCCTTACTCTCCAGGCTCCCTGTCTCCCTGGGATCTGGCCTGGAGTGCCTTTAACTTGCACTGGGTTCTCAAGGCAAACTGGGGATTCTGCTGGTACATTATCCACCCTGTTGTCCAGCAGTCTCTTTACCTGAGCTCATGGAGGTAGCCTTGGACCTTGTGCTGAAGACCCTTGGCATGCTAGTTCTGGGCAACTTTAATGCCCATCCTTATCCATGGTAGCTTGAGACTTCATGGCCACCATGACAACCATGATTAAAATTTTAATCAGCTTTGGTTAAAATTGTCCCTATTGTTGACTCATCAATAATTGTCCATATTGTCAACTCAGATTGGCTTGCAATGTTACTTTTACTTTCATCACTTTTAAACATTTTAATTATATCAAGTTTTGTATCTTAGGATATTACTTTCCTTCCGCCCCCCCCCCTTTTTTTTTTTGCTTGATGCACTGGTGCTCTGATTCTTTGACATGGTCAATAGGTTCTAAATCTTATGGTGAATAATTGGAGTTTGTAAAACAGACAGTGGCCTCACAGGAGCTCTGAGCTCATAGTTGGGTGGGAGGAATGACGTTATCATGCCCACGACTGTGGCAAATTTAAAACCGCGCGTTAATTAAAACTCTGCCACATATATCAAGGGAACGCCACAATTAATCTTACCATGTTAATCAAAACCCACATTAATCAAAACTGTGTTAAGCAAGGGATACCTCTATCACCTTGAACTACTTAGAACTTGTGCATCCTGGCTGTGTCCATTTCTGTCTCTAACCCTACCACCAATCCCAAATCCTTGGATCTTGTAGAAATTGCCACAGTAACCCAGTAATGTGAACTCCTTGGTTCTGGAGCTCCTATTTGGGAATGGCTTAAGCTTGCCTTTGCCAGAGTCAGATAACAGAAGGAATGGTGTAAAACAGAGGTATCAATTTTGTAGAGTTATGTAAAGGATCAAGGTTACATATATTAGCATTTGCAGGGCCAGGTTGTGTTTACTAAACCTTACACAGTAGATGGCTTTTTATTTCATGCCATTGTTACCACCTTTAGGGGGGCTGCAACACTTTTATTACTTATTCATTTCCTTTTATTATTGTTTAAACATGGACAATTACTGATAAATGTTCACCTTTCCCATGCAGAGTTTGCTGCAGGTATTTCTCAGTAGAACTATGGGACACCAAGTGGGAAAATGAGTGTTTATCTGAAACCATTTCCCTCTTAGCAATCAATCCCTTGAATTAAGGAGTAGTTTAAATTCCACACTGAGACCTGTCATTGTATTTTCTATTTTAAAAACAGTGTTTGCAACTA